AGGGACACGGTGGCCAGTATCAGCTGATCTGTGCCACTCTCCAGTGGGATGGTAGCAAGGCTGGTGGGCACACACACCCCTACCCACACGGGGAGAGATGTAAGCAGTGGGAGAGCTGGGCCCCACTGATGGTGTAGCTCTCACTGGCTACAGAGAAAGGCTCTGCTGGTCTTTCTTGGACATCTCAGAATAGGCTTTTGAGCCCTGTCTGGGGAACCACAAAGGAAAGCAGTGGGGAGTACGCCAAGATACAGCCACTGACACTGGGACAGGTGGCTGTCATTTTGGGACAACAGCGTACAGCAGTAGTCAAAGATACCCAGTGTGAGAAGCTGCAGACAGCTCTAAGGGCCGTGCTCCAGGAACACCAAGGTGAGTGTTGTCAGGAGGCTGCTTTCTAGGGTTTGAATCATTTCAGGACCCAAAACAATACTAATGAAAACCCCTGGGAGTTGTTATTCTTCAGACAGGAAATTGCCAGTATAAACTCTGGTGGGCCCACTATGTGCACTGCACACCCCTAGGACTACAGAGGTACCAGGAGAGGGCCCCTCCATCCCCCACTTCCAAGTCACCCCTATCTACCATTACGCACCAGCTGCTGAATTACAATTCGGCGCACAGTACCTTCTTGGGAGGATTAGAGAGACTACACGTGAGAGGGCCCTGAACGTTCCAGCACATGGTAGGAACTGTAGAAACTATGCCCAGTGTAAGCAGTAGGTTCCCATGGAAAACTGTATTAGACACACACTTGCATTTGTAAACAGAGAAAGACGCTCCTGGGATTAATAAAGTCCGAAAGCATTTAAAAGTCTGACTAAAGTCATCATTACTTGTTTTGCGGACGGCCTCTGCCAGTGTGTGTGTGGTGATGGAAGACTCAGTTCATGATTTTATGTTTTAGAAAAGAGATCGCTGTGCATAAAAACTAAACAAGACATTATGATCTGCAGTGTTAATGCCTAGGATCATCAATGGCATGGCAGAAATGTAAAGATAAAAGTCACAACACAAAATGCGATCATTTCACCAGGCAAGCACACCAAGACAACCGGGAGAGAACAGCACCGTCGACACCGTGCTCGCCTGCTGGCACTGCCCATTATGCCCTCCACATCCACACAGACGTGCAACTTCCGATGTAATAGCTGGAGCAGCGTTCAGGGCTTCCCGGTCTATCAGTCTATAACAGAACGTCAGCTCCAAGACTCCAGGGACTTTTTTTTTTTTTTTTTTGAGACAAGAGTCTCAAGCTGTCACCCTGGGTAGAGTGCCATGGTATCACAGCTCACAGCAACCTCAAACGCTCAGGCTTAAGCAATTCTCTTGCCCAGGTTCCCAAGTAGCTGGGACTACAGGCACGCGCACCACAGCGCCTGGCTATTTTTTGTTGTTGTGGCACTTGTCATCGTTGGCCTGGGCCGGGTTTGAACCCACCAGCCTCTGTGTCTGTGGCCAGTGCCCTAACCACTGCGCTATGGGCGCCACCTACAGATTTTTGTTGTTGTTGTTCAATACTTAGAACAGAGCCTTCACCACTTAAACAAGGCTCCAGCTCAATGTAGTACTTGGTAAACATTTGTGGAATGAAGGAATGAAAGAATAAATGAATGACACATATAACTCAGAAATTTAAGCAGAAGTTTCCTGCTTTTTAGAGCTTAAACTTCATTATTTGACTACAGTGATTTCCAAGAGAAACCTAAGAGCACAGAGTATGTACCTGCCACAGCCATGCAAATACCCCCGGACGAAGAAGCAGGAACAGCACCCACGGTGTTCACAGGGATGCTGCTGGAGGCCACTTTCGCAGTGTCCTCCATGAAGATGTCAGCAGGCTCCATCACGAGGTACTCCTCACCCTCCCACTGCCCTTCGTTACGTCCTCCCTTTTGAAGGTTGTTTAGTGCATAAAAATAAATGCCATGATGTCAAACTACATGAACAGACACTTCCCTGAATTCATAGCTTTGTGTTCCTGGTGCACCTCCAAGCTGCCCAGGCCCAGCGTGCCATCAACAATGCACCCTGCCCACGGAGCTTGGCTCGCCCGTGCCTCCCAGCCACACGGGTACACTGAGATGTGTGTTTCAACACACGCCCAGCTGCTGTGGGGCTGGGGGTACCTCTTGCAGTAAACATAAACCCCAGGCCAGCCTCACATCCCTCTGGGGGAGAAGAGGATCAGCTTTCACACTTGAACCTGACCCCTGAGCCGGAGGGCCACACTGGACCAGACCAGAGGTAGCTATGGCTACCACAACCAGGGAAAGGCCATCGGCACCTCCGGAAGGGGTCAAGGGCAAACAGTGAGACCTCCTGCCAACAGTGGCTTCAGTTAGGAGACAGGCAGAAACCCACAGTGACCCACATATATTCTTCTTGGTGTAAATTTGTTTTTTACTATTGAGGTAACATATCATAGGAAGAAAACAAAAGACAGCATGCTATCTGGGAAGGCCCTTCCCTAGCATTCGGTCTCCAGCCCAGAGCTCCATCCTTAACCAAATGTCTCCATCTAGCGTCACTCTTTGTACATGGATAAAAGACCTGATGGTCCAAACTAGATCTAGTTTTGTTTTAAATCTAATGCTTAATTTTCATGTGATTAGGGAGCTAGAAATTACAAAGATGGATCCCAAAACATGAATTATTCTACTCTTTATCATCATTGATCAAATTTTCACAACTAAGGTTAGAAGCAGAAACCATAAACATTGATTCAAATATGAGATACTAAAATCTGGATTTCAGAGTTCCACATGAGCAAAGAGACATGAAAAAGTCTCCCAATAATTAAATTTGTCTCTGTTTTTCCCAATAATATCCCTGAGACACTTCTGTGGTGTTACTGAGCCTGTCTTCACTGCTGGATGGAAGGTGGTCTGCCAGTGTCCAGACCTTGACACAGCTGGCCCAGAGCTGACGGAATCACCGACATTGCCTCTGGGGAGTCACACAGCAGAACCAGTGCTCACGACACAGCCACCAGCCTGACACCAGACTTCACTGAGGTTACAGTGCTTCCCAGCAGGGCCACTGAGAGAACCAGTAAGCTGTGCTGTGTTCACACAGAGGAAGTGAGGGCGCTACAGTGGTCTGTAACGATACAGACCAGCAAATACAGCACTACGATTTGGAGTGAAAGAACTCCCAAAAGATCTGTTAACAATTATCTTTTCCTCACATCAGAACCAACTCAAACTCAGTAATGTATTTCTCGGGGTATAGATGAAAGTATTTTTTACAAGGCCAGGGAAGAGGAAGCACAGGTTTCAGGACAGGCGCTGTTCAGGCTGCCAGGCAGGGCGACAGGACATGAGAGGGGAACACTGCAGTGAAGTCCCTGTCACTGTGTTAGTGACCCCGTGGGGTAGCTCCTGAGTGTTTATCATATTCAGCAGGTTTTTTTAATTTGAGACAGTTTCACTCTGTCACCCTGGGTAGAGTGCTCTGGTGTCATAGCTCACAGCAACCTCAAACTCTTGGGCTTAAGTGATCCTCCTGCCTCAGCCTGCCCCCAATAGCTGGGACTACAGGCACCTGTTACAACACCCACCTTTTCTTTCTTTCTTTCTTTCTTTCTTTCTTTTTTTTTTTTTTTTTTTTTTTAGTAGAGATAGGGTCTCATTCTTGCTTAGGCTAGTCTTGAACTCCTGAGCTCAGGGGATTGACCTGTCCAACCTCCCAGAGTGTTAGGATTACAGGCATGAGCCACCATGTCTGGCCATATCGAGTAATTTTTAAAAATTAAAATTGAACTAAAGAGGCTTATGCATGGATACATAGATGAGTGTGTACCATAAAGCAAGGATTAGGAATTATCTAGTTATGTATTTGGGGTCCCCAGACTGGGGGCAGTGAGATGAAACACTTCACCTATGCACTGAAGGAGCCACGTCTCTCTCCTTAACCCTCTTTCTTCATAAGCTTAACTTACCTTGTTCCTTCACTTACCTCCATGTCTCACAGCCCAACTCAAACACTGTAGATGAAAAGAGAGATTCTAGACTTCCAAAGACAGTTCTGCCAACATCATCCCCACCACAACCTTGGCCTACCTCACCTGACCACCTAGGTTCACAAACTCTATCACGTCACGCGTTGGAGGATCATCCATGTCTTATTCCTAAATCATCCGGATTATACTTTAACATCAGCAAAACCACATTGTATCAAAGAGTTATTAATTACAGATTTTAACTAAAGTAGAAAATAACTTTGTCTTTTTTCACAGACAAGGAAGACGGGTATTATCGGACACATAGTTTTAAAAAGTCGTTGATGTATTCTCTTCTAAAACCTAAATATATTTTAATACTATCCATATCTTTCTTCTACTGTTAACATCTTCTAAAAACTGAAGTATTCATAAGTATTTAATTTCTGTAAATTAAAATAAATATATGACTGAAAATGTAACAGGCCTCTGGGGGGGAGGGAAACTGCTTTTCCTTTTTTCTGTTTTAAAAATTAGATTCTTGGCTCGGCGCCCATAGCTCAACCCGCTCAAGCGCCAGCCACGTACACCTAAGGTGGCGGGTTCGAATCCCCAGCCCGGACCCGCCAAACA